CCTTTCTTTTTCATGTTTCTAATTCACCAAAAGTACTCTCGTGGGCATTCTTCAAACCTTTTTTCTAAACATTATTTTAAATATTTTTTCTTAAAAATTAATCGTTTAATTATAGTAGAAAAAAAAAAATACAAAGTATAAAAAAATCATATATTCATAAATACTTCTCTATACACAACATTCTTGAATTGATTTTCTGTCAAACCTTCTTCTCCACAAATTAAAATTTTCAGATCTTTTTCCATTGTAACACGGAAGACATCGACAAATAACTAGTCATGACTAATATATGGTTTCATCAATAATAAGCCAATATGGGACAAGGATTGATTTTTTTTTTTTTAATCTAAAAACTTATTAAAAAAATATATTCTTTTACTAAAAAATAATTATAAAAAAATTGAACAATACGTGAACAAATTATCAGTAACAAAACATGTTTGATAAAATTATATTTTATCGTTTTTCAAAGCTATACATACTTCGAATAAAAGATAAATATACAATTACCAATTAGCTTTAAAATTAAAACTCTAATTGTTAAATATTTATTTAATTTCCTGATTGTGCTCAATTTGATTATTTTAATGTTTAATGCTTGTTTATTGTGCAATTGATTTTATAGAATTTATTAACAAAAATCTGATTTTTTGATTGACATGCCAATCGGCTTTTGATAAAATAAATAGCATAAACATATCCTGTAGACACAAAATTGGCCTCGATTTTGTTTCCAAACTTATTCAATGCTCACATTTAAATTTTTTGGAAGCTTAAATCACATAAGCGGGAATTTTTCAAATTATGGTAAAAAAGATTACTCAATTTAGTAAATACTTTAGACGGAAAACCAAATACTTTTTTGTTGATTCTTAATTATTATTTCAAGTAAATATCATTGACTCTTTATATATTAATGGATACATTACTCAAACACCCGAGCAACTTAAATACCCATTCAAACCTAGTGAAATATTTCCAGTAGTGATTTATATATTTATATTTTACTAATTTAGTTACTTTTTATACTTTAATAATCATCAATTTTTCTTTTCCATATTATATAAATGAAATAAAATGTTGTAAAAACCATAGTTTTTAAACCCGGCCCGGAAAATCGACCCGGGCAGATGTCTGGGTCACCAGGTCACCGGTTCAACCGCCTAGTCTTCGGATCAATTGCTGAATTGGATAATTAATTTTAAAATTTTCAAAATCAAAAATAAATAATTTGTATATAAAATTTGTACATCAAAGTATTAAAAAAATTGTATCTCACAATAAATATTTACTATATCAATATATTTATATAGTTTTTTTATGTTTTATATAAAAAAATATTAGAAAAAAAAATATATATATATAGGGACCGAGTCAATGGCCCGAGTTGAGTGGGTCAGGTTGGCCGGGTTTTGACTGGGTATGTTGTTATCCGGTCCAAATAGTCCACCCAGACCAATTTCGGCTCTGAATCGATCAGGTCCCAAGTCGAACCGCCAGGCGGGTCAGGTTGAAAAACAATGGTAATTAAAAACAACAAAACATTAAAACATACATTATGGCGACTGGCCGGTGCCACTAAAACCCCATTGGTTGAGAATTTAAGAGCACGACTTATCAACTGGAAACCATATACTGTGATCCTGATGTGACAATATATTTACTTGGAAGGACCAAACCCAAACAGTTGGTGTAATAATAATTATAATTGCACATAAGAAAACATTGTATTGAAGGAAAAAAAATGTAGGGTCAATGAGAAATATCCACTAATATAACTATTAATTAATGTCCTCATGTGGCCACGTAAATATATTAACTTACCGAATGATAATAATCTATATAAAAACATTAGCTTTGTTGGATAATAATTTATTTAAAAACTATTCATGTAAAGTGTGCGCAAAATGATGAAAGTCACGCATATCCAAGTGCCTTTTTTTACCCTGTTTGACCTCTTACTATTAAGAGCCCCCGCTGACTGTGCGGCTTTGCAGACGTTGAAAACTGGATTCTCTCATCATCATCATACATCTAAGTATGAATGTAGCTGAAAAAAGGCCATCTCAGCTCAGCACAGCACATTATTAGAAACAAGTCAACCCAATGAAAATCAAAGGACGTCACTAAAATACCTATCGTACCCTTCCGTGTTCTCTGCCAACGGTTATGTTTAAGCTGACTTGTGAGTTGTGAAGGAGCAAACTGTCCACTCCAACGGAAACGTACAGTCCACTCCAAAGTGGAAGAAGAAGAATAAGCATATAATGGGAGAGAGAAGGAGGGTTCAATCGGAGACTGCAAGTAGTTACCGGTTTTTACCATAGATCAAAATGACACAAGAGAGAAGGGTAAAAAAAAATTGATTACTGTGAGTTGAAATGTTGAGACTTGAGAGAGAGAGAGAGAAGAGACATTTGCAGCGATAAACCCAGGAACCATTTAATTTTGCACGTCACAAAAATTTAATGTTTTCTGTCCCAACCAATTAATGTTACCTTCTCTCTCTCTCTCTCTCTATCTCTGCAAAGTGCAAACAACCCACTCCACTCTTCAGATCTCATTTATTGCGCCATTTCCCTTTGCAGTAATGCATTTATTGCCTTTTATCTTCCTCTTTTCTCACAATCTTAGCTCTAGCTACCACACAATTTCATAATAACTCCTACCATATCTCATAAACCAGCTTAGCTCTGTTAAAAACTTAAAATCACCCGTTGAGGGACTTGTTAATTTCAATTATCAACCTTCCCGATCACCATCGGTTTTGGTCTTTCGTTAGGCAAGTTTAACCATTAGACTCATGGTCTCATGACTTATTTTATTAGAAAATGTAATATTTTAAAAAACAACTAATAGCTGTATAACCATACATTTTTTTTTTTCAAATAGTATAACGGATCAATCCGCCTAGCAAATCCACAAGAATTTGTGATTGCCAAATTGTTATTTTTCACAAGATTACATTCCATAGTTTTATTATGAAATGTCACATATATGGGTTTAAATGATTCATTTTTATATTGTTTCTAGAATTAATGACTACATTCTATCATACTATTAGGCATACTCACAGACAACAAATTTTCTGGAAGCCTAAATTTTATGGTTTAACCTACATTATGTTGCTTTACAGATAGGCGATAGCATTACTAATAATAATAGCATGGGAAACTAAATACTGGAGTACTACAAAAACACACTGTTTTGATGAACTAAAAGAGAGTCTAATTAATGATGACTTGGAAAAAAAACTTACACAATACATTCTGGGGGCTTTAACTAAGTAACTCCCAATTTTACTCTGTTTCCTTTCATAACTTGAGCTTGCTCAAAGCAGACGCCAGCTCAGCCGGGGACGATGAACCCACTTCATGCACTTGATTTGTCTGTTGTGGTGGCGGTGGAGCTGCACACACCGGAACCACCGACCTAATCTGAACTGCAGGGGCGACCCTCTGTGAAAACTGATGGCAGACTCCAGGAAGTGCGGGCCGTCCGACCGGGCCCCACGTAGATGAGCCCTGGCCCTTCATTGCAATATGGGTCGGGTCAACAACACCGGATATTTTCTGGGCTTTCGCATCCTCAGCCAAAAATGCTGATTTCCCGCCGTAAAAACTGCATCTTGCAACCGATTTTTTCTTGATGATCGCATCTGATAAATTCTTTATCCACTCAAGATCATCATCCCTTAGAGGAAATTCTTTTGATTCTGATAAATCTGGAGGCAGGATTTTGGACATGGTTCTTGGTGGTGGCGGAGGAAGCACAGAGAAAATGCTGTTTGGCTTTGGCCTGGAGCTTTCAGGACCCGGATCCGGAATTTTCCATGGTTTGATCCGGGTCAGGTTATTAAGGTTGTTCTCCGTCCTCTGCATTTTTCCTCTGTAATCCCTTCTTCTTATTACTCTGCACTGGTTTTCACGTTGCTCGTTTTCTTTACTTGAATGAAACACAGGACCGAAATCTGGCACTGCATAAAGAAATTCTGAAAAATAAAAATGGATTTTTTAAGAAAATATACAAAAAAATAAATGAATTTACTCTTTTTCAGTGAAGCCCAGGCAGCAATTGCAGCGTTTTTCTCAGCCTGCTTTTTAGTCTTCGCCGGTTCACCGGTGAATCTCAGGCCGGCCAGCTCGACGGTGCTGGTGAAAACAGGGACGTGACCCGGACCGGATCTGGTCGTGGTGTACAACGGAAGTTTTAAGCCGGCCCTGTGAGCCGTCTCCTGGAGCAGATTCTTGTACACTCCGGTCTCATCCTATTTCACATTATTATTATTGTTATTGATAAACAATTAACGATAATTTTGGATTATGAAATAGAAATTATTAAGAAAGAAAAAGTACAAGGACTCTAGCGGTTAAGGACTTGGAGGGGCCACGGGCGGAGAGGGAGTTGAGGGCGACCTCCGCCGCCGCGTGCTCCGCCTGCCGGAGGGTGGTGGAATAAGACGGGCTCTCGAAGATCTCGCCGTTGAAATTGACGGAAGCCTTGAAGCGGGGCGCGTGGTCGGGACCTTCCCGGATGCACGCGTAGGCCGGTAGATTGAAGCAGCTCCGCTGGGCGAGCTCCTGCAGCTGATTCTTGTACATCTTTTTTGTT